CTGATGGACCCTCCAGCATGGTACCTGGATTTATGAATTTAAGAGATGTACTCTATCGGCAATTCCAATTTACAGTAGAATTGGCTAGATGTAACCGTAAATGATATTCCAAGAGTTTCTTTTCTCGCACTTCTCGCTTGTGGAACTCTTTTCCGGCTACATGCTTTCCAGCTAACTTTGATCTTCAAAACTTAATCCAATATAAATCATTATTTACTATGGTACCCAGAAATTAAGCCCTGTACGAGATTGGCAACACGCTCTCATCAACTTGCAGTTGAGTTGACTAGATGTAACCGTAAGTTCTATGCTAACAGTTTTTTCTCGCACTTCTCGCTTGTTGAACTCTCTTCCAGCTTCATGCTTTCCAGCTAACTTTGATCTTCAATAATTTAAATTCAATTTCAATCGATGTCTACTCTTTTTTTGATTACTGTATTCATCAGAACTATTACCACGAAAGTATTTATAGAAAAGGTACAGGGAAGCTACGTTACAGCGATGGAAAATGTGGATGAAATCGAGATGCCAGGTCAGCATCAATAATATTACTGATTTTTCTCCTTTTTTTGATTTTATCAAGAATCTATAACTGTTAGTGAAATTGTGAAATCTAATTTACTGGAAAAGATTTTAATACAAAGATTTTATAAATTTCAACCGGCAGGAAGGATAATTGTTAGGTCAGGCTTGGGGTTATGCTGTGAAAAGCCAGATGCAAATGAAGGCATACTCTATAGGAGAATCAGCTTCCACATAACTAAGCTTTATTTAATGAATATAAAACGTGGCAGCATTTTTCCAGAAATATAGGATGAAGAATGTGGCTTTAAATGAATGGCGAATGTTTTCTTTATGGAGATGGTTATTTTTGAAATGTGCCATTACCATTATAATGGTTATTAAATTTAATTTTCAAATTATTGCGATTAATTCTAAGAGCTGTTCATTTGTGCACATATACCAGTTTAATGCCCGATGCTTAAATATTAGCTGCTGTAGATATTGCCCGAAACATGTTTTGAGTATCTAAAAATACATTCAAAATCTGAGCTCATTCATTATGGAGGCTGTAAAATTTGCCCAGAAGAAAAATGCCTGATCGAGCTGTTTTCCTGCGAGTCAACTGTTTTCCCCGAGAGCCGTTATCGATTAGCTGTCGTCTTTGCTAAATGAATTGTCGTTTTTTTTTTCTCTCTCGCAGAAACAAGCAGTTACATCAATTTACGCGCCGATGTCTCTCGCAGAGCGTATTAGACACAACAAATAACTCGCTGCTCTTCTGCACCAAGTTATGCAATTTCTTTGCGTTTGCCATCTCTTGCCATCGATGGCTTCTCTTAGCTACACGTGAATATGTTCCATTTCTTTTTTACAAAATAGTGCAGCTTAATCAACTAATTTATGAGATAGATAAAGAAAAAAAAGAAAAGAAAACATCTAAACTTTTCCTAAAAGTCTTTAGAACATATGTACCCACAAGATTATTCCACCTTTGCAGAAAAAAAAAATATTCTAGCAGCTTCAGCGACAACGTTTTCACAGTTGTGTATAATCCCACAATAGAAAAATAAGGATTCTATGAGAATAAACGGTATTATTGGAAAATTGGTATCCCTCACGATATTGTGCAGGTGTTTACATTATATACAGTCAAACTAGTAACCTCATCTTTGATGTTCAGATAATAGCAATTTGATCGTTCTATTCTCAGCTCTTCTTGAGATTTCTCTCAATCTGATTAGCCTTGAGAAAAATGTTTGAATTTGGAATTTTCAAATTAACTTCGTTTCCATTATTTACACGCAAACAATCTTACTCAACTTTACATCTGTTAACACAACGCTTCGACCATTGTGCTACCTACCGTTCTTCAGTTGTCTGTCGATTCAGGTAGCCTCGAACTGAAAATTTTATTTATTTTCCGTGAATATATTGTTATCATTCCGTTAGAATTATGTCGTGTTGGTATGTTAAATAAAGGCTACCTTTTGAAATTCCCTGTAGGATAAAACCATATCAAGAGACCTGAAAATATAAGTATTTATCAAATCAATGTGCAGAGGATAAAATCAATTCATTATTTCCAGTAAGACTAATATCCTCTTCTTTGTTGTTAATATCACAATATTTCGTTATATATACCTATCGGCTTTCTTTATTTATATATCCGGGTAGCCTTAAGGAAATTTTCAATGAAATCCTTTATTTAACCAACTGGGGCTCATTGTTCTCACTCTCTTCTACATATATATAGGGGTTCTTCGTTTTGTCAGATAAAATGAAGCCTTTATATTTTAACATGAGGTTGTATCATCATTCACCTTGTTTGCTGTCGTACGAACTGAAATTAATACACGCGAAATGAGTTTGTCGGAGTTAACTCCTCCTTAATTTCCTGATTGTTCAGTAGGCAACGCCCTCTCTACACTATGAATACTGGGCGACTTTGCATTTCAGCGGACACATTTACAAAATGTGATCTCTCGTAGAGATCCGCTTTTCGCCCACTTGTGGGAAAACGCCATTAAACAAACATACACGTACGTACGAACATTCACCAAAATACAAACTCTTTACGTTCACACACACAAACATATGTCGATGGCTTTGTCCATTGTAAATTTTGTTATTTTAATACATATACTTCTTTATATATATAGTCGACTCTCCCATCGAGTTCAACGTATGATGGTCAAGGAGATCAGTTCCCAGGAAACCGACAGACCGACAACGGCACATGAGATTTGATTACAGTGGTGAAGTTTTCGTGCAGGACCAGCCACACCTTTTGAAGGGCCGAATACAGAGACCTGGTGCACCTGTGCCACAAGTTCCCCAAACAACCCTCCGCAGGTTTTAAATTCAGAGTTATCCTTATCTTAGACCAGTTGGCGAACGAGGCCAAAATGTGCTAAACGTATGCGGAAATTAAAACATCCCTACCACACACTAAGACATACACAGGACGCACACACTCAATTAAGCTGAAAAATCGAATCATCCTTGATAATGGCTAAAGGTATAGCCGACAGCATTCGGAAATATAAAACATTCGGACAGTTTTTACACCCTTTGTCCAGAAAAGAAAGCTCTTGTTAGAACACAAGAAAAATTAAATAAAAAGCTTAACCGTAGTACCTTGTCTGTTGTTTTTAATGAAACATCCATATATATATATATATATATATATATATATATATATATATATATATATATATATATATATATATATATATTTCTGAGATGAGGTATTATGTACAGTATTTACATTATTCGGACTATTGTCCTCATCTTTGTCGCCATATTTATCACAACGTTTATGCCGTTGTACGCTCCGGCCTTCTTCAGGTGGTTGGAATTGGCCGAAACGTTGTGATAAATATGGCGACAAAGGCGAGACAATAGTCCGAATAATGTAAATATATATATATATATATATATATATATATATATATATATATGAAAAGTGTATGTAAATATAAATAGATATATATATGTATAATTATTTATATATTATATGCGCGGTACTTATTAGAAAGCGCTCAATATCAGAGATAGAGCTAACATATTTGGTTGGATAGATGTGAGTTTGTGACTCAGTGTGTCTGAAGATTTTAATTTTTTCGTATTTTTTTTTATTGTTCAATATATATATATATATATATATATATATATATATATATAGATAGATAGATAGATAGATAGATAGATAGAAGCATGCATACATACATGCACATGGTTAGTATAGACGAAATAAAATTCAGATAGCCAAAAGCACTTCTTAAAAAATGCATATATATATATATATATATATATATATATATATATATATATATATATATATATATATATATGTGTGTGTGTGTGTGTGTGCGTGTGTTTGTTTGTGTGTGTTTGTGTGTGTGTATGATTGAAAAGTAACTCCCCATTTTAAAATACTTATAATTTATTTATTAATTATATTTTTTTTTTTTTTGCAAGAAATGTATTCGAAAGGAAAGCGATTTGGTATGAGTTTTATTTTATGATATTTTTTTTTAAATTTGACATGGGCACCAGATATCGCTACCAACTTTTTTCAACAGGAACTCTTGTGGTATCTGCGGCGTATTGTCAGCAGGGCCCTACTCGCAGAGCCATGTCTAGTTCTGTGATTTCTGCTCACGAATATCCAGGAGTAGGATGGGCGTTCAGGGACGTCTCAAGTGGAGAAAGGGAATAGGGAGAGAGATGACAATCTTGATGCTCGCTGGATCTCTCGATGATACACACAAACATATATATATATATATATATATATATATATATATATATATATATATATATATATATATATATATATATATATATATATATATATATATATATATATATATATATATATATATAAACCAAACGCTATACTATACAAGTAGATTTTAAAATATATTTTTCCAATGTTGTGTTAATTGCTTGGTTCTGGGAAATGAAACCATTCTTCGTCAGTGGACATATTAAAGTGTTGGTCCTGAAATTCCAAGAAGCTAACCAAATATGAAAACACAGTGCCGCTATGTACACTAACCAACGAGTTGCGAATACAACAGCCAAAATGTGCTTATTTAGAAATTTCTCGCATGATTTTGGTGTTTAATACGTTGACTGACAGAGGCCAATTACGAAACGAAATTTTAAAAGCCTACTTTATAATAGCCGTCTAAGACAATAAAACATTTTATGTGTTGATTTATAGCTTCAATTCAAGTTTTAACATTTCTACTAAAAGTATCACTGCGCAGTTTGTTCAATGTTTACTTGATGATCAACTTTCAAATAACACAAAACGTCTAATAATGAACAGTGATACACAGCATTATCTAGAAGCAATACCACAAGTTCAGAAGAAAAAAACGCCCAACAGAGACTCTGTAGAGTTCGTGCACAAAATAAGCAATGTACGGTGAGAAAGAAGGTAGGATGAGAAAGATGGAACGGCGAGAAGCAAGATATGGCGAGAATCAAACTATAGCGAGAATTAAAGTACGGCGAGAAAGAAGGTACGTCAAGAAAGAAGGTACGTCTAGAAAGAAGCGCACGGCGATAAAGAAGATATGCCGAGAAAGAAGGTACGACGAGAAAGAAGATACGGCCAGAAAGATGGTACGTCGGGAATAAAAGTACGGCAGGAAAGAATGTACGGCGAGAAAGAAGGTACGGCGAGAAAGAAGATACCACGACAAAGAAAGTAAGGCGATAAAGAAGATAAGGCGAGAAAGGTACGACGCGAAGAAGATGGTACGTCGAGAAAGACGGTATGGTGAGAAAGAAGGTATAACTATTAAGAGCATACGGTGAAAAAGACGGTACGTCGAGAATAAAAGTACGGCGAGAAAGAATATACCGCGATGGTACGAAGAGAAAGAAGGTACGGCGAGAAAGAAAATAAGCAGAGAAAGGTACGACAAGAAAGAATGTATCATGAAAGATGGAAAATCGGGAATAAAAGTACGGCGAGAAAAAATGTATGGTGAGAATGAAGATACGTCGAGAAAGAAGATACGGCCAAAAAGATGGTACGGCGAGAAATAGATATCTTTATCCGCGAAAAAGATGGTACGTCGATAAGGCAAGTACGGCGAGAAAGAAAATACGGCGAGAAAGAAAATACGGCGAGAAAGAAGATACGGCGAAAAAGATGGTACGTCGAAAAAGAAGGTACCACTAGAAATAGCATGCGGCGAAAAAGATGGTACGTCGTGAATACGGCGAGAGAGAATGTACGGTGAGAAAGTACGTACGTCGTCAATGAAAATACGGCTAGAAAGAATGTATGGCGAGAAAAAAGGTACGGCGAAGAAGAAGATACGGCGAAAAAGATTGTACGTCGAGAATGAAAATACGGCAAGAAAGACGGTGCGTCGTGAGTGAATCTATGGCCAGAAAGAAAGTCCGTCGAGAAAGAAAATACGACGAGAAAGAAGGTACGGCTAGAAAGAAGATACGGCGTAAAAGAAGTTGCGGCGAAAAAGTTGGTACGGCGAGAAAGATGGTACGGCGAGGAAAAAATGTACGGAGAGAATGAAAATACGGCTAAAAAGAACTTACGGCGATTAAGAAGATACAGCGAGAAAAAAATACGACGCGAAAGAATGTACTGTGGTACGTCGTGAATGAATGTACGTCGAGAAAGACGGTACGGTGTGAGAGAATGTACGGCGAGAAAGAAGGTACGTCGGGAATGAAAGTACGCCGAGAAAGAAAGTACGGTGAGAAAGACGGTACGGCGAGAGATAATGTACGGCAAGAAATGAAAGTACGGCGAGAAAGAATGTCGCGAAACATCGTACTTTTGTGCTGTTCGTGAATCATGCAAGCATCTATTTTGGATATTGGAAATTTGCTTTTCAAATGATTCATTTATGTTACCTATCATCTGTTTTTAGCCGACAGTCTTCATTCTTTCCTCACAAAAGCGTTACAAGTTATTTGCGTTAAAAACAAAGAAAAAACTAGTGATTGTAATCTTGATGCTGAGACTCTAAAAACGGGAGAACTTGTAGTCGGCGCCATAATAAAAACCTGATAACCACGAGTTATTTCCTGGTTAGCAGTCAATGTCTTAACAAAAAAGCTAAAATTTGTATTTGTAATTAGGAGAAGTATAAATTATAAATAATTCCATTAATGAAATTTCAAATCCTTTTACTGGACTCTCAACTTAGAAACTAACAGTTAAATTCATCGTTTTGTTTTGTTTTGCTAACAAGATAAAAGCATATTCTTAATTCTTTCCTAACGTTCACTTCATTATGAAAATTTTTTCGCTGACATTTATACTGCATATGAAAATTCTGTTTGCATATTCACGCATAATATATTCTAAATTCGATATCAATGTAAGTGATTCTTAAGTTGATATTTCTGCCTGAGTTTCCAGAGTGAGGAATTATCATTATTTACATTATTCATACGAGGATTATTATTATCTTTGCTGTTATTATCACAACATTTTGGTCGATGGCTTCTGTCGCTTTCATCAAATGTCGAAAAGAATCAGCATAGTTGCTACGCTATGAAATCCTCCTTACTAGGCTTAACATAGAAAGCTATACGATATGGGATATAAATAAAAGAGATTTGACAGAATGTCTTCAACTGCAGAAGTAGCAGTAGAAATTTAATCATTGGCGGATCCTAACATGCTAAACAAGCAGCAACAGCAGTTTCAGGAACAGGCAGAGTTGGCTTAAGGCTCCAAGTTCTATATACAGTTGAGTAAAGGGTTGATTCGAAAAATTTGGTAAGATATTAATTGTGTGTTCAATCACTTGACCGCGCAGTGCAGACTTAGTTTCAGTTGAAACAAGGTGAGAAATAGGATGAGATATCCCTAAATATGGTAAAAAAAACGAGACAATTTACCAATGAATCAAAAAGCACTGATAATGACTGTGGTGCAAAACGACCGAAACGTTGCGATAATAACAACGAACATGATGATAATAATACGTGTGTAAATAATAGAAACAAAATTAATTTGAATTTTCTTTCTCTGGAATTAAATAATTGGCACACTTTTTATTGTCAATATTGTTTTCTTCATTTGCTATTTGGCACAATATCTTACCATTTAATTTATCTGAAACCTGATCTAAAGTAATGTGTTTCTTAAAGGAATTGAGCTAATTACAAGGAGAAGCTTTTGCTTAACCGAATATGTGAACGTTTCTCACGTGGTAAGTCCGTTGTATTTCAGATTGTGTGTGGTTTCCTGGAATTTCCTTATATATGTGCATCAGTACTATTTCAAACAATCCTAATGTTTCCATAATTATTGGAATATTACTTCCTGATCTACCATGAGTGATGCACGCTTGTTCGATCATGTTTCCTTTCGATTTGCGATTGACTTGGCTATAGAATTACCGTAGTCAGCTGCGGTTACTCTTTGCCGTAAACTGGTCGCCAAACAAGACTGTAGGAACCAGTGCGTCTTGCTATTTAACCCATATCTTTAGGAAGACACGGTGGATTCATATCTTTCCGAGTGTATTTTTTCGTAAGTGAAAGTTCATGCTAGAGGAGATAATTCGTCTATGCAATGCCACTTTTAATTCCACTGAATCAGAGAATTTAGATTTCATTTTCTGTTAGTAAGCATCTAAGATTGTGAAAACAATGGTTGATTCATTTTCGCTATAACAACCAAGATTTTGTACCAATTCAAATTAGTCATTGTATAATAATCATTATCTTAGAAATTTAGACTGAAATAGAAAAAGTCCGTGTATATGTTTTAGCAATGATGCAATTTTTCTTTAACTTTTAAAATTGCAGCTAAACAGAAATTGATTGATTCGTTCATTTTTTTCATCTTATTAACCCATTTAGGTTATTTAAATTTGATACATTTTTTGGATTGTAAGGATAATTCTTTTATTTTTTTACGGGTTATTTTGACATTAACACATTTTTGAAAATAACGATAATTTTTCCAGGTACATGTCCTACTATTTAACCCATAGCTTGGATGTGGAGATGAATTCATATCTTACTCAAAAGTATTTGCATTTAAGTAAATACAATGAACGCAACTGGAAATCAAATTCAGCTTTTCGATTTCTCAGTTCAATTACATTCACCATTACACCACCCGTATATCCAAGTGGCCACCCATCAAGGTACTGACCAGGTTCAAAGCGGTCATCTATCTGATCGGATTAAAAATTGCATAACTTCGGACGAGAATTGGTTTCTCAAAGTGATATGGAGTTGGAATAATCATGTGTTTACGTTCTACATACTTTTAATTTATATATTTAAGTTTTTATATTTTGAAAGTTTGTTCAATTTTTCACTGGGTAGACATGTCTATGAGACAACCCTTTTGTTTGTTGGTCTTATAATAATTATAACAATATATATATATATATGATATATGTTGACAATAATTCTGAGTTCACTTCATCAGTTTGTGTTAATACCATTTCTCTGCAAGGGAAAGATTATAATGTTGTCACATCTTCAGGGCAGGTATTTCCATAACCTAGCATGCTATATTTAAATTAATTTGGGACTAAGTGAGATCACCTCAATATTAAATAGACCGTATTCGCCCCAGTGTTTGAAGAAGCGATATTTTGGATCTATTCTAATCATTAAAATAGTTTCCTAACAGAAATTTGTTGGAAATATTTGTTCTTGAGAAGCACGGGTAATGATACTGTTTCTGGTTTCAAGCCTGTGCTCCGAAGATACAGATGACTAAGAATTTTGTCAGCATCCGTATTTGCCATGTAAGGGTCTTTTCTTTCCATTTTGTTTTCAGGTTAGTAGGGTCTTTTTTTTTACTTTTTGTCTGATGTTTATTGGCTTCGACTTTTGGTATTTAAGCCTCTGTTTCATTTCGCTTGTATCTTGTTTGGATATTTGGCTGACTTTGAGACTTGTATAAACTTTTGTTGCATTCCTGCTGGTAAACAAGCTTTAGCATCCAATCATTGGTTAATTCAAGATATCATTCAGCATTGCAGTTTTGTATGTGATTTCATTCTGGGTCTACCTCCATCTGCTTGAGGCGGATACAATTGATTTGCATCTGCAAATGAATAGCACATGTTATACACTGTGAAGTGTTTTCGCCTTCTGTTCGATCTTTGTATCTCTCTTGAATACAGTTAATCACATTGAAAGGCTAGATAGTAATGGTACTGATAACATTAGCCTTTTCCTTATAAGGAAACATGTGGAACTCATTCACCGAACAATTTCTAGTACCTTAATTTTTCAAGAAAAAAAAGACTCAAATCCAGTAACTGTTATTTTTACTTTCAGTATTATTTGGGGATTACTTTCAAAGCTTTGTTTGAAACATTGGGGAATATTCTTCAAATATACAAATCAACCATTCGCCCTTGCATGGAGTATTGCTGCCATATCTCGTCTGGAGCCCATTCTGTTTGACTCGGGGTTCTTCATAAGATCTAGAGACGATATGCAATTTAATTGGCCTTGATCTGGCATCTCGTCTGCAGTCGCTCTCTCACAGACGTGCCGTCGCCTCCCTCTGTCTTTTTTACAAATACTTTCACGGTAACTGCTGTTTCATGAATTTAAGCGTTCTACTAGGCTGGCATCTCGCTCTCACCCTTTCAATGTCGAAACTGTTAAATGTACCCGTCACTTCTACTCCAATAGCTTCATGCTTCGCACTTCTCGCCTGTGGAACTCCCTCCCCTTTTCCTGTTTCCCTGATAGCTATAATCTCCAACTATTCAAATGTAATGTCAATCGATGTCTCCAGATGCCTTGATCTATCCCCTATCTTTCTCTTCATCCTTTCCTCTATCACTCCTATCTGCTCTCGCTCCAACTCTCTGTAACCCCTTGCGTGCTAGTGGCTTCCAACGTTGCTTGGGGTGTAACTCTTAAAAAAAATTCAACATCTTGATTATGTGATCATTTTCTTTTCGTGTTGTATATGTTGTCTATTTTACTTGTTGCTGCTGTGGAAAGTCCTCAAGTCGTTTCCTGTTATTCGGTACAGTTACTTGTTTGTGATTCTTTAGCACAAGTGATTTGAAGAAGAATCATTGTTGCTTTTGACTTCATCCACTTGATTCCATTATTAACCATTGATCAAGAGATATTGATAAGATATCAAAAAATTCAATTTTATTTTTCTATTGAAGTCAGTTTTATTCATCGCCATTGCGCACCTGAAAGTCATTTCTGGCGTTTTTCGTTCATTTTTCCATAGTGGATTCTTATCATTTATTTATTTATGCCAAGATATTTATATATTTACGTGTATACTATATGTTACTAGCAGGTATCGCCCGCTTGCTATCTCTTCGCAAAGTAACAGATATTTACTAAATGAAATCTTTGAAACAAAAATTTTAAATGAAAATTTAATTCATAAATTGGTTTGTTATAAAAGTTTTGCAAATAGATGCCAATTTGTTGAAGTAAAATTTCAAACACTTTTCTGCACTACTTATCACACTATTTTTAAACAGAACTATTTTTGATAAGAAAATTAAAACAATACTTGAATAAAAGAACAGTAATGAAGGACAGTTAATTAATAAATTAATAAACTTTTTTAAAATCAATTTGCAAATTAGTTCAACCTGAAGAGTGATAAGGCCTAGAATTATATATAATGCAGACATTGAGCATCGAAGGTGTGAATTACTTTACTTAATTATGATACCTGATACTAACCTGGCACAGGGCTCGTCCCTGGGCTGGTGGTTTCATGGCTAGGACTATCTTGGACCGGCTCCGGCCTGGATCAGCTGGGACAAGACAAAACCAGCTCTGACCAGCTTGGACCA